AGACTTAGCCTGTGCACCTATAGATGTGTGGGTGTGGCATAACATCTCTCGTACTTGTCTTTTAGCTTCCGCTTTACTTTAATCTTGATGAGTATACTTTATCTCTTTATTAAGCTTTAATTGGTTTTTAAAAGTTGTGAAAATCGGGTGTGTTACACATGGATCTATTCGGTCCAGTAGACCCAGTAACTATAAGTGGTAAGAAATACACACTAGTTGTTGTTGATGATTTTTCCAGGTACACATGGACAATATTTCTCAAAAAGAAAAATGAAGTAGAGCAAAAGCTGCTAGTACTTCTAAAGCTATTACAAAACGAGAAAGACTTGAAAATTGCAAAAATCCGAACTGATCATGGAACCGAGTTCGTGAATCAAGTAATTCAAGCCCACTGCAATTCTCAAGGAATTCTACATCAATTATCTGCCGCACGTACACCACAACAAAATGGTATAGCCAAAAGAAGAAATAGAACGCTAAAAGAAGCCGCACGTGTGATGATTACGCCAGCCGAGCTACCTAAAAGATATTGGGCTGAAGCAATCAATACCGCATGCTATACGCAAAATCGAAGCTTGATACACAAGTCTTACAACAAAACTCCGTACGCGTTATGGAAAGGGACAAAACCTAACTGTTGGTCCCAAAAGAGATAAGGTGAAAATCTAGAGAGGGGGGGGGGGGGGGGGGGGGTGAATAGACTTTCAAACTTTTTCGCACAGCACAACAATTGCTAAGCCAGAGATAAACCAAAACTCTTAATTAGATTGTTAGAGCATGGTGCACAGCGGAAATAAATAAACATAAAGTGTGTGTGAGATTGTGTGAGCAGTATATCTCGTGTAGAGCAATTATGTAAAGAGCAGTAAGTAAAGAAAGCAGTAAAGAACACAAGACAATTATAGTGGTTCGCGAGGTGGTGTAATCCTCCTACTCCACTTGCTCTTATCTCCAAGAGCAATTCACTATATCTACCACTCCTTGGTTCCAAGATACAATGAATTTCCGTGATCTAGTGCCTTGATCACAAAGCCCGCACTAATCACGCCCAGTGACACCACACTGCTGGTTCGGGTTTCACGTCGTCGCGCTACTATCCCAGGATTTCACGACTCCGCGTTACTTTCCCCCCGTCTTCCACACTCCGGTAGAAACGTATCCCGTGATCTAGTGCTTTGATCACAAAGCCCGCACTAATCACGCCCAGTGCCTCCGACACTGCTGCTTCGGATCTCACAGCTCCGTGTGACAATCCAGGATTTCACAGCTCCGTGCTACTTTCCTCCATTCTCTTGTTTTGCTCCAAAACAAGTGTTGTCTTGCTTCCAACTTCTGAGACTCTGTAAATGATCTTCAATGATGCGCAGGTCTCTTTGATGAAGATAAACACTCTGGAATGATTTCTCTTGATAGCTCTGAGTGTTTTCTCTCTTTGAATATATCAAGTAAAGCACTTGATATTTTTGCTCTGTTTTGCTCTGTTTAAGAACTCTCAGAATATTTTTCTCTTAGAGCTCTCTGAGTTCTTTTTCTTTTCTCACTTCTCACTTGAAGATTTTTGGTATGCTCTGTACCAAATGAGATTTTTGCTCAATGCTCTTTTAATCTTTATTGCTCTATTCGTTCCCCTTGATGAGTTCGTATTTTCTGCTCTCTTGTTCTTCAACAAGTTCGTTCTCTTCAAGTCTTCATATCTTCATCATTTTATAGCTGGTAATGAGAATCTGTCCGTTGGAAAGAGACGCTCTCATTTTTGAATTCTTGTATCTTTTTGTCAGAGATCTTATCTTATCTTCTGCAAAGATGTCAAAAAGGATAAGCTAGCCGTTTGATGGATCTTCATCTCCATGTAAATGAGCTCCCAAACTTCATCTGATATTCCTCTAGTTTAACGTTGAGTGGGAATATCTGGGTCTCTGTTTTGGTGTAGAATGGTTTCTCTGATCAGCTCTGAAGTGGTCCTTGTATCTTTGGGATTTAAAAATATTCATTAATTTAATCCCATACTAGTTAGACTAGTATTTTTTCTTGTGAGAATATTTTTACTGTAAGTTCATCTTCATCTTCTTCATTCTCACGTCTGGGTGTTCTCAGACTTCAAACTGGCTTTGAACTTCCTCCCAATTTGAATTTCTCCTTTGTAATTGACACCCAATTTGAATTTCTCCATTGTAATTGGCTCCCAATTGACTTTGACTTGCAATTGGCTCCCAAACTTCTCCTGGTGCTTTCAATTGCTTCCCAATTTGAATTATTGACTTTGACTTCGAAATTGGCTCCCAAACTTCTCCTGGTATTGAATTTTATCTCAATTCAATTTGATCTCCATGTCTTCTTCGAATCGGTCCCCAATTTGAATTTGCATCCCATACTGCAACTTCAATTGGTGGCTCCCAATCGGTCCCCAATTTGAATTTTCATCCCATACTACAACTTCAATTGGCTCCCAATTTCAATTGCTTCGAACTGGCTCCCAATTTCAATTCCTATGAAATCAGTTCCCAATTCCCCAATTTGAATTTTCATCCCATACTACAACTTCAATTGGCTCCCAATTTCAATTCCTATGAATTGGCTCCCAAGCCAAACTAGCGCCCAACTCCATCAGATTCCCGGCTCCCAATTTCAATTCCTATGAAATCAGTTCCCAATTCCTTTGAATTGGCTCCCAAGTGCAATTGCTTCTCAATTGCCACCCTAAGCCAAACTAGCGCCCAACTCCATAAATATTCCTTTGAATTGGCTCAACTCCATCAGATATTCCTTTGAATTGGCTCCCAAAGCCAAACTAGCGCCCAACTCCATCAGATTTAATTAGATTTGGCTTCTCAAATTTTACCTTGTGAAATTGTTGATGATGAGATTCAAACTTGAGCCATTTCGCATAACATATCAAGCATCATCCACTTCATCCGTATAGCTTATTAGTTAAATCTCCAATCATCTTTGATGTACTCCTTTCTTTCCATAGATACTTGATCTCCAAGTCAATTTCATGCATTTTTCCAATCTTAATTTTCTTTCACGAAAATTCTTCTGGGATATTTCTTTAAGTAGTAGCGTTGACGTGAATATTGTATCATTCATCTTCTTCTTCAATTTGTCATTTTCTCTAGACAAATTCTTGATTTTAGGCTTTATATCTTCTTCTTTTATTTTCATGCATCTTCCTCTGTTTTTCTCTTTTCCAATTTAAATAATTTCCTGATCATGGTCTAAGACTCTACTAGACCTAAGAAATAAAATTGCGGGATCTACAAATACATATTTGGCATATCAAAACCATTACATTTTATTCCTAACAATTTCCCCCCTTTTGATAATGCCAAAACCTATACTCAGTCATTGCCATGTCTTTGAAAAATAATCTTTTTGCTCAATTTTATTTGACAAAGCCAAGATGAGATTAACAATGGTTTTCTAGACACAATCAAAAGAAACTTGTGAATTAATTTTTAGACAAGCTCCTAAACGCATCTTGAGATATTTTTCTTTTGATCATCATCAATTTTTAATTTTGTTGTGCGTTTGACATAATTCTTGTCTTTTAATTCACGAAAGTCTAATTACATTAAACAAACAAAATTAAAGACTCAATATAGACCATGGGAAATTATTATTGATATATTTCGAAAATATTGAGAAAAACGCAACAGAGGTTCGAAAATAGAGAAAATATCAGCTTAAGAGAATTTTCAGATTACCTTCTGGGTTTCTTCACACCAGAGTCTTTCTTCAAAATTTCCTTGACATGTTCTCTGAGCTTGTAGAAATCATCTTTGAACTTTGCATTCTGAAATTTCTTTGTAAGCTGTCTGGCCATGTAATGTCCAAAAGCTTCTTTGATATTGTTGCCCGGAAGAACTCCGGCTTCCCACCATAAGACACATTCTTCGAAGCTTCTTTCTTCTCCAAGATTCATGCCCATATTTCCAGTGAAATCTCTTAGTTCATACCACATCTCGGTTCTTTTCCTTTTGCCTTCTTCTTCTTTATTCTTCTCCGAGATCCATTGGGCTTGATCGGCTGCAGGCCATTTCTTGATCATGCTTGGTAGATTTTCCTTAGTCCATATTGTTGTCTGAGTGGCGGTACCTTTAGAGCATTCAAACCAACCACGCTGTTCAGCAACCTTTGATGTACTCGTACCAAGACTAGGATCCGCGAACTGAGCAAAACCAATCTGAGATGGTCCTTGTGAGGATTGTCCGCAGCTTCGCCCTCTACCTTGAGTGGATATTACTGGCTGTTGTTGGCTTCCAAGAATTAATTCTTGTTGCTGCAAAGCCAAGTGACTGAGAATTTCTTCCCCCCTTTTGGCGTTATCAACCAAAAATGCAAGGGTCTTAAAATCTCGGTCTTGGTTTGCCTTCACAGTTTCAACACTGTTGTGCGTTTCAATGGAAACGGTTTGTACGTTGTCCAGCTTGTTTGTTGTAACTACGAGCTCAACTTCAAGTTTGTTGATTCGGCTTTCTTGATCTTGAATCGCCTTGATCTGTCTCAAGTGACGTTCGTTGTGAATCTTTTCGGCAGCTTCACGTTCTTTCTTCACACTAGTACAAAAAGAGCCATACGCGTCTTTACTATTTGAGAATACGCGTCTTTAAAAGTAAAGACGCGTATGGCGCAGACACTGAAAGTTGGCAACTTTACGTGTCTTTACTTGGTAGTCGCGTAAAGTGGACTATACGCGTGTTTTCTTAGAAGGTAAAGACGCCTATACTGTAATATTTTTTTTAATATTTATTTTAATTCAATAGTATCCTGTACTAATCTTTGCTCCAACAGAAAATTCCACTACCAAACAACATTTATATGAAACAACATTTATATGGTTCAAACCATTCAACACAATATATATATAAAATCCAACATACATAATTGTCTAACACAATATAATCATCCAACATCATAATTGTCTAACGCAAAATAATAATCCAACATTAATATATCATAATATATACAATGTAATTCCATCTAGTGCACCTAATAAACATTTATATGCACTCATTTACAAAATTGTATATCCATAACCTTCGTATCTCATCTATTTCATCCTTAGAATAAGCATTTGTATCTTGATATGCCTACAAAATTTTGGATAATTAAAAAAAAACAATGAGTATATATACTATAAAATATCTTTCAGAAAAAATATACTATAAAATATTATAATAATTAAAAATATTTAAATTGTATCACTTTGTACTCACCTCATCTAACGAAGTGTAGTTATGAAATTTTGTGCATATATCATATATGAACCTCATAACGTAGTATCCACATTCATCACTACCGGGTTGTTGAGGACACTAAAAGAAAACCACGTACACATGTATATATATAGATATATGTATGTATTAGTTAATTGAAATATAACTAAGTAAAATTTTTATAGTAAACAATCATATTTTTTTTATACCTTCACATATTTCCAATTAGCATTACCCATAATCCTTTGCCCTCGTTGAATTGCAGAGGTTCGAAAAGCCCTATCATTAATGTATATATATAGAAATAACTTAATTGCCGATAAAATAATACTAAACTTATGAAAAAGACATAATTTGAAGTACATAACATTTTAATAGTTTTACTTACATATTCACGGCTTGTTTGACTTCAATTTTGCGCCTACAATTCAATGGATCTAATACGTATACGATTCTTGAACTTGCATGAAGCAAGAGTAGTAACCAATGATTCCTACAGTTTTTAAACATGTAAATTATAATTTTAATTTAAAATAATTCAAATGATACTATATGAATTTATAAAAAAAAAAATTATTTTCTTACGCTTGATGGTATGGTGCTAAGATAAATGTCTTGTCTTTCAGCGTAACCATGGTATTCCCAATGTATGCTGTAACAGCATCCTCATTTAAGTCAACATTTCCTTTCACAAATTGCGTTGGACACATAAACCCAATTGAGTTGACTTCAAAGTCCTTGCATAGCTGATGAGCATATCTGAAATTACATATCCTAAAATAAGTTATTTTAAAACACAATAAATTTTTGAATTAATGAAACATATAAACTTACACTATAAAGACTTGAATAATAGACACATCAAGCCAATCCATCGTGAATAAGTCTTTAATATCTTCAATCATCACAAATATGTTACTCATATTTGTATGGTGAAAGATATCATAATCCAACCCCAACTCAAAATAATCCAAGTCTAAAGGCATTCTTCTTATCAAATTATGTAATCACTTGCCACTTTTTCCCAAGGGTTGCAAGCCATCATCATCAATAAAAGGATGTCGTGCGCCAGTAGCAGACATGTCACATTGTTCCTCGCTTTGCTTTTTGCCTTTATTTTTCTTAATTGCTGAATTTTTGATTATTTCTTCCTACAAAGAGAAATGTAAAGATTAAAAACAAAAATTTTTAATACAATTATAAAACAATAACAAATAATTACCTCTTCAATATTGACTAAATGTAAAGGCCATTGTGCAAATGATCCAACAATTTCTGCCAATGTTGTATGAAAACTTGTTGGTACAGGTATGCTAAGTGTTGTTGTTGCACTTGGAAGAAGCATATCAACCGAAACTTTTACATGAAGCGGTAGTAATGGTTGACTATGCACCATAGTGTCAGGTCCACTAGGATAAAGTGTCCCTCTTGCAACACCCTCCGTAGTTGAATCTCCAATGTCACATAATACGGCTAAGCGACATGGAATTGGACTCTATTTTATAACAAAAAAAAAAGTGTTATTGTAAATATTGAAATAAAATATTTCATATTATAAAATAAGAAATATTACCTGAAGCATGCCAAATGGATATGAATCAACTGAATGACAACTACTACGGGTATTAAGTAGTGGTTCAGTAGGCATATGGACGCGCTGAGGTGTACCCACCGCTGAACTCCTAAAATCATTAGAAAATTGTTGGGGGAACTGTTGTGGCATGCTTTTCATCACAAGACTAAGTTGATATTTCAGCATATCAATCTCAGGTTGCACCTCTAGCAGTGTATCTTGTCTTGTTTAATAATGTCCAGCCTAACTTTCTCGGCAATATCTGAGTACACATCTTTCTTGATAATCTCTCTAACGTCATCCACCGATACCAATCCACTCACTCTTTCCCGAGCCTTCTCTGGTTTTCCAAAAACTTTCCTTACATTAAGGTAACTGCCAACACCTCTAACATAACCGAGAGATCTCCCTTCTTCTTATAAAGAACGGTAGACAATACATCATGTTGTCTACTTGCTTGAAATGACCCCTGACCAAGTTCTTCGACCTTTTCAACCTATTTCAATATATAATAAAACTACATTAAACTAAATAACATTTTAATATTATTTATAACCAAAGTATTCTCAAAAAGTCAATACTTACAATTTTCTCAACCACGGCCACTGTTTTCTCGTTGGGGATATAAAAATTTCCATCATCCCCTTTCTTCGATCGTGCTCGAACCCAATCAAGACTACGATCATTTGATGCAAGGGCCGAGCTAATAGAGGCACATGAGGACTTAGAAGATAAGGGATCAGATATAAGCCACCCTGGCCTTTTCCCTGCATATCCAACATTCCCTAAATAATGTGGATGTTCATTGAGCAATTGTTTTTCCCTTGCCTTTTTACTTTTTTCCTATTGAATCAAAATATATTATTAATACATGCATAACAATTACACATTTTTACTAACATAATCAATTAATTAAAAATACCTTGAACTCCTCCGTAGTGTGACTAGCTACAAATCTCTCCCAATGTTTATCATTCAAATATTCATATAACTCTGTGGGAGATGCATATCTTGGATGCTTCTTGTTTATATATTCACGTACTAATCTATTCTTGAAATCTTTCCACCACTTCCCAGCAGCTTTGAGAACTATCTCCTTCTTCTCATCATTTTGAATGTTAAACTCTCTCTAAATAACAAAAAGAATGTATAATTAGTTTGAAAATATAAACTATTTATACCATTATATAATCAACATTAATAACAGTTAAATACCTTAACCTCATCCCAAATGGTATCCTTCAGTCCTTGTTCAACTTTATGCCAATCGGGTATATTAATGTCTACATGACATCGAACTGATGTGCCAATATAAGACTTGAATTGCTTTCCATATTCACCGATTGCTTTATCATTCTCATCAAACTCAACTGTGATAACTTCATCTACCTTTTTCTTTTTGAGCATTTTCTTGCAAGTTGGGGGTCCTCTCGTCTTAAATTTAGATATAGATTGTGAAGGACCTTGCGGAGCAGAATGTGATGGATTTGCCATATCTGTGTATATATAACTGCATACAAAAATAAAAGAATATTATTTATACTATTATGGAATTATTCACAAATAACATAAAATTATAAATTAATCTTACACTTTAAAATTTTATATTCGATTGTCAATCCACAATCCCTCTCCATGATCACTATGCATATAACTGATGTCAGTAAGATCTTCACTCGGAGTTAAAGATTGAATACCAATAGAAAATGGAGGAGTTTCATCAAAATGGTCATACTCTTCTTCATCCACGACATCACCAACACCAACGATACTTCTTTTGCCTTGTAATACAATGGACCACTTAGTATCAACAGGATCAGAAACATAAAAGACCTGTTTTGCTTGTGATGCAAGTATGAATGGCTCATCGTGATAACCAAGTCTACTAAAATCAACTAAAGTAAACCCCAATTCATCCACCGGAACACCTCTTCTATTCTCAACCCAACTACATCGAAACAAAGGAATTATAAACACCTTATAATCAAGTTCCCAAATTTCTTGAATAACACCATAGTACGACATAGCAGCATCAACTAGTTTGGCATCTTTAGCACTAGAATAATCTCTTGATAGAGCTATTAATGTAACTCCACTATTTTGCATCGTGCTCTTATCATCTTGGTGTTTGGTGTAAAATGTATACCCATTAATATCATACCCTTCATAACAACTCACATGCAAAGCAGGACCGTATGCCAACCATTTTATGGTTTCAGTAATATTATTTGGCACTTGTGACAACTCTTGCATTACTGTATCTTTAAACCATCTTATAAATGTGCGGTTGTGCTCATTAGTGATCCACCATTCACCCTTTGAAGGATTTTGATGAGTTAAACTAGATATGTGTTTGTCCAAGTATGGATGGACCTCAGAAAGATGTTGCAATTCGAGATGATGTGCCTTATCTCGCATTTCTGCAGTTGGAACAACTAAGTTAAACCCAATAGTACCTTTTCCTGTAAGTCTTCCCTCATGACGAGATTTAGGAACACCAATAGAGTCAACATTAGCTAAATAGTCAGTACAAAACTCAATAACCTCCTCTGCAGCATATCCTTCAATAATACTCCCTTCAGGTCGAAATCGATTTCTCACATATCCTTTCAATATCCCCATGTATCTCTCAAATGGATACATATATCTCAAGTATACTGGACCACACATCTTAATTTCTCTTACCAAGTGAACAATTAAGTGCACCATAATGTCAAAAAATGATGGAGGAAAATACATCTCAAACTGACATAAAGTGGTTACCACATTAGCTTGCAAAACATCCAAAACCTCCGAATCAGCAACTTTACTACAAATAGCATTGAAAAAAAAAAACAAAGCTTTGTAATGGCATGCCTAACATGTTTTGGTAATACACCTCGAATAGCAATAGGTAACATGTGTTGCATTAAAATGTGACAATCATGAGACTTTAAACCAACCAACTTCAAGTCTTTCATTGATACAAGCTTTTTAATGTTTGATGAATAACCTGAAGGAACCTTCACATTGTTTAAACACCCATAAAAACTCATTTTTTCCCTTTTAGACATGGTATAACAAGCTGGAGGTAAATATATCTTCTTTCCTGAATCTTGTGGTGCTAACTGATCACGGATACCCATTTCAGCCATATCTTTTCTTACTTTAATGCCATCTTTTGTTTTGCCCTGAATGTTCAATAGTGTCCCCACAATACTATCACAAACATTTTTTTCCACATGCATCACATCAATACAATGCCTTACATCTAGATGCTTCCAGTATGGTAGATCCCAAAATATTGACCTCTTCTTCCAAAGACTCTTCTGAGTAGTCTTAACTGTTTTACCCAAATCAACATTCAGATTTTTCACTCGTTCATAAATTGTTGTTCCCGATAATGGCAATCGGGCTACTCGATTCTCAACTTCTCCATTAAAAGGTTTTTTCTTCTTTCGGTAAGGATGTCCAATAGGGAGAAATGTCCGGTGACTCATGAACACATTCTTTCTACTATCATTCAACCATAGGTCATTTGTTTCATCCTCACAAATGGGACATGCCTTAGCTCCTTTAGTAGTATAACCAGACAAGTTACCATACGTGGGAAAATCATTTATTGTGCAAAAAATCATAGCACGTAAGGTAAAATTGGTTTGATTATATGCGTCAAACATTTCCACACCTTCATTCCACAACATTTTTAAATCATCAACAAGCGGCGCTAAGTATACATCTGTTGGTCCCGATAGGGTGGTGAAAGTCTAGAGGGGGGGGGGGGGGGTGAATAGACTTTCAAGCTTTTTCAAATTAAATAACTCTTTGGTAACTTCAACTCCAAGTAACAAGTAAATAGAGCAAGTTTGTACTGCACAGCGGAATAATAGTAAAGAGTTATGCCCAACTAGTTAATTGAGTGTGCAGGTATAAGTAAGTTAGGTACAAAAGATTTGTAAAGTGACAGGGATATCTTGAATATATAAAGGAGATGGTTCACTCAATATATAATAACAATATTCAAGATTGTAAATAAATATCGTATCACGTCGAACGTGTGACGAATGTTACATGCAGCACGTCAAACTTGCTTAGAATAAATAACTTTTTAAGCTCGAGAAGTTTGAGTCACATGCATACGTGAGAACACACTAAACCCGAATAATAAATATTAATCGTGAATAGTAAACGGGTCAGTCGGATGAGATAGATAGATATAGCAAATAATGTAAGTGCGGTATGTAAATGAGAGAGACAATTTATAGTGGTTCGGAAGTGGCGTAATCTTCCTAGTCCACTTTTCTCCTTTCACTTCTAGGAGAAATTCACTATTTTCCACACACAGTTACAATAGTGAACAAGTGCTACACAGGCACTTCTACCGGATGTCTTGCACACAGCTACACCCAACTCCGAGTGTCTCGCACACAGCTACACTCAACTCCGAGTATTTCGCACACAGCTATACTCAACGCCAACCAAGTGTCTTGCACACAACTACACTTAGCAACTACGAGTGTTTTGCACACAGCTACACTCACTAGAGTATTTTGCACACAGCTATACCCTTTCTACAATTTACAAATACAAGGATTTGTATTTCTCTCTCCAACTAGATTTTGAGACTATTCAGACTAAGTCTCTTTGAATATTTGAGCACTTGTATTCTATCTCGTTTTTCTCTGTTCTTCTCACGCTCTATGTCTTCAAGTCTTCATGGCTTTTTATACTCAATCAAATATATCCGTTGGAGTGGGATAATTTGATATTTGAATTTTGAATCTTCATAGCCTGATATTGTTGACAGTAGTAGATCTTCAATTTTGATTTGATTTGTCAACTTGCCTGACAAAGTAATTATTTTTAGC